TGTGTGTGTGTATATATATATGTATATATATGTGTGTGTGTATATATATATATGTGTGTGTGTGTGTGTATGTATGTATTTGTTTTCATAAATTAGTGCGCTGCCCTCAGCTTGCAGTGTTCTCCTTTGTGCCGAGTCATCTCGTCCAGCAGGTGGCAGTGTTGTCTTTTGCATCCCCGCCAATTTCCTGCCGTACAAAAATAATCCATAAATGAAAAATGGGATATTGAAGTTTCAGTTGCTACTATATCAACCCGGAGGACTGCTATAAACTGTACTTAACAAATCTATTGTTCTTTATCGAAAGAAAATTTTAAGACACTGCAAATTACACTGTACCATTGATTTGTTTCACTAACCACTAGAGGGAGCCCACGTATCACTAGTGTTATATACAATCCCTGTCGTAGATGGCTCCAGTGATTTGTTCAGGGATGTGTAATCTGATTATTATGTTTTATTATCGAAGGATCATCTTTATCTTAGCGTGGTGTTAGCGCAAATGTTTTGGTTAATTAGCCTATTTTTCTGACGTGTCGCTAATCCACGTGTAATGAAGCGTGGATCTTGACCCCGCAGCTGGGAGCTTCAGAAGGACCATTGTGTGTGTGTGCGTGGACCGCAGAATTTTTTTTTCTAATTCTGGGATGATTTATCAGAGGCAAAAAAAGACTCTGCGAAGTGTGGTAGCACTTGCAAATAGATGGAGTGGTGCGAAGGGGCAACAGCCCTGCTTATTCACCTGAGGGAAGAGCACCCACCATGTCGTCGGCAGCAAAATTACTTAGGCCGGTGTTTCCGTCACTGCGACCTCCCCAACCCGACCTCAGCCCCCCCCCTGGCACCTTAATCAACTGTTAGCAATCCTTACTAACAGTTTGCGAAGTGTGGTAGCACTTGCAAATAGATGGAGTGGTGCGAAGGGGCAACAGCCCTGCTTATTCACCTGAGGGAAGAGCACCCACCATTCATCGGCAGCAAAATTACTTAGGCAGGTGTTTCCGTCACTCCAACCTCCCCAACCCTACCTCAGCCCCCCCGGCCCCTTAATCAACTGTTAAGGCAACACATTATCCGTTGCTTAAAGGGTTATAACACCGCCACGTATGTCGATGGTCATCGTTAATTAGCATTAAGCTAGGCAGTCTTCCCTTAAGTCAGTAGTTATGCTTTATAAAACCAATTTATTTTTTCATTTTTTTTTCTTGGGTGAATTTTTATACAATACAGTGCCGCTTTTCTTGATGAAAATTGCGTAACGAAGAAATGGTGCCACCGTATAAGCATTGCTTACACATGTTTATTGGAGAGGAGAGGATGCTTGGATTTCATCATTTGTGATTTGTGACCATCTGGACCCCCCCTCCAAAGCCCCCCCATCCATCCATCCATCCATCCATGCAGGCAGCTGCTGTCCTGCCCCTATGCTTCGTGGGATTGAGCTATGCTGCACAATCACACAGTCACCTAATACTGCTACACACACACACACACACACACACACAGACACACACACACTGTACAGTGCAGTCATAATGAACTAATTCCATTTGATGGAGGTGCTAAAGCCTGGTTTTGAATGTGAAGACACAAAACAAGGCTCCAGCTAATTCAAGTCGACAAAAGAGTGGGGGGCGGGGGGTCTGTGTTGTCGTCAGTGACGACTCTGGGAGATTCAGAGAATGGATTTCCCCTCTCTGTGTTGCCATGGCGACAGCCCTGGATGGAGCATGACTGATTTCGTGTACAGCTGTGCACAGCGCCAGGGGAGAGAGAGGCCAATGTGGCATACATCTTATAGGAAGTACAATAATATGTACAGTGGGCTACCACTATTCGCGGTGAATCGGGAGCAGGCCACATTTAGCGGAAACCCGCATATGATTGATGTCAATGACATATTCATTGACATTCAAATGTATTTTTTTTTTCAACTCCTGACCCCACCCCCCGTCCCTCGCCCAATTTTTAAACAAACGAGGATATAAACGTGGAAAGAAGACCCTGTTGAAGAGGGAAACATTTTAATTCCAGGAACCAGTTCACACATTTCACTTTCAGCAACTTTATCCAGGAAGGAGGATTTTAGGATGAGATTTAGTGCCTCTTACTACTCACACAGAATTTTTAAAATTTTTATTTATTTATTGATTTATTTTTGACGAAACTTTTGATTGGATCTGCTTTGTTGAAAATCGGGGGGTGTTAGCCTGTGGGAAACTGGCAAATAAAAATCCTGTTCAACGAAAAGCATGTCCAGTAAAAAAAATGTTTATAACTACCAATGTTTTATCGTTTCAACTATAAATACACCATCAACTATGATCCCAAAACACTTTCCAGCTCTTCTTTCATGACTGTAATCTTAAAAATAAATGGTCTAAAGCTAATTTGAGTTCCATGATTGCACTGTAAATGTGCTATTTCCTGCTTGTTCCGGTATTTATACTTCCATACGTAGGTGGTTATATATCACCGGGAGGAGGGAGGGTGTCCGACAAATATTTAGTTGACATGACTGATCTCAGGATGGACAGAGCATGCTGGTGATAGCAGACAGAGAGGGGAGGAAGAGAGGAAGGGCGAAGAGGAGGAGGCGGAGGTAAGGGTGGGGGTGTGGGGGGTATCTTCTTGCAGCCTGGCTGGAGGGTGGAGACTGTGGGAGCGGCAGGCGAGGAGAGGGAGGCAGCGAGGATCTCAGCCAGGGAGAGCAGGGAAGAGCAGGACAGCGTGGATGTAAGCTCGTCTCCGCCTTGACTGGATGTGTTTTGCTGCCACGTCGGGTAGACGCGTTGAAAAAAAAAAGGTAATTATTATTTTTTTTTTGGGTGGGGGGTGTTTGTTGTTTTTGTTTGACTATTTTCACTGAAACCATGGCATGCCACGGGGTGTGCTCTGGCTTGATTGATTGTGATGATGCTGACGGGTTCACATCAGGAATCCCCCCCCCCCCCCAAAGAAAAATTCCCTCTGTTGGATGGAAGTCAAGGATGAAAAGTGGGTGTTATGGTGGGCAGGGGTAAAGCTCTGATCATTCCGGAGCATTTTCCTTCCTCGAGTGTCATGTCGTGGTCAGAGGAGGACGGGGGAAGATGGGGGGGGAAGGGTCTGTTTTGTCATAAAGCATACCCAAGGAAATTGTACGCAGCACAAAGGCACCGTCGTGATTTTGCGCCATCTCTTGTGGTTTTTGCCCCGCGTATCCCGGCCCATTTAGCATTTCGTTTCTCAAGGCCACCGAGACCACCAAGACAAAACAGCAGAGGTTAACAAGTGTTGCAAAACATCGGAGCCGCGAACAGGACCGAGATGATGAGGGAATCGTGAAGGGAATCGACGATCCCGCCGGCTGAGCTGCTGGTTTGTGTGCGATCCGGGTTTCAACAGAAAAAGCGGGTTTGTCAAGGGGGTGTAAACGGCCTCTGGGCTAATAGGCTTGGAAGGATGACGTTGAGCTAAAGACTCCAACCTTTTTTTTTTTCCCGTTGCACTCGCCACACTTGTTTACTCCTGACATTTGTTGATTTTTGCTTTTGATAAGCTTTGGCACACAAGCAGGACGGAGTTCGGAATCCAAAGACCGACAGTACATCGATAAGTCCTCGAAGTGAGTCGACTAAATGACTTCTCGGCGCCAACCAACCGAGTCGTAGCTGTCCTTCGAGACAAAAAGAACGGATGTTTATTCAGGTCTTGAAGTAGTTCGGTCTGTCGGAAAGTCTCAAGTCTTCTATCAGGAAATCCTTTCGACTGTCAAAGTCATGACCTACAAGACAGAATGTTTCTTGCCTGGCCCGTTTCTCAGAGGTCGAGTTGTTCCGAGGTGGCTGTAAGTTTCAAGTCTACGAGCAGTAAAGAATTTCAGATTCTCAGAACTTTTAGCATCCAGGTCAAGTTAGGATCGACGTAGAGGAGGCTTGATTGAACCAAGGCCATAAAACAAAACCAACCAACCACGTCTCAGTTGGTCTGGTAGACTAAAACATAAGCTGTTTCTCTGAGTCGTAAAGCAGTCAGGAGCCGAACCAGAACTTCAGACCAAATTTCCAGTGGTCCAATGCAAAGTCTCAGTTTGGGAATGAATTCAATCTGACCAGATTGACTTTACAGACAATGAAGATCGCCTGTTTTTGTATCGATGTGAAGACGCAAGTAGACGAGTCTTGATGGAACTGAGTCCACCAAAACGATTGACCAACCATGTCTCATTTGTTCTTATCAACTAAAAAAATTGGATGTTTGTTCGGGTCTCAGATTTGTAAATCGAAAGCAATGTAACGGTAGCGTTGTCAAGGTTAGAGTATATGCATGTCACTTCTGAATTGAACTGGAGTTCAGAATCTGAGGTATCTATACTTCGAGGACTAGCTAAGACATCTGTAGATGAGGCTTGATGGAACCGAGATGACTGAAAGATCGACCCCTCTGGGTTGTGACTACGTTTGGATTCAGGGCCAACCCTTGAGTCTACTGGAGTCTTTTCAAGGACCTTTAAACAAAAAGTTCTAACAAACCAATGACGTCTTCTGACGATTTCTTTGAGTGTCAAAGGAGGCAAGTCCTTCGCTGTGTGACGATCTGAAAGTCCCGGTCTAAGTCCTTGTCACCTCAGACGTATTTTACTTTTCCAGGACAAGATCAAGAAGAGTCAGCAGATTAAAAAAAAAAAATCTTGGATGTTTCTTCGAGTTTCTGGGACTGTTTCAAGTGGTGCTGTCAAGGTAAGGTCCAGATCAGGAGTCTTTTTGGTCTTCGGGTTAAGATTTGGAATCAAGGACACTTTGGAATCAGAGACAGGCCTGAGTTCTTCTCTTGTGACTGTGGATTGAAATCAGTCTACGAGTCCTTCAGCAACGAACAAAGTAATTCTTACGTTATCTAAGATTCTATATTATCAAGTCCCCCCGCAAAAAGTTAGTCCCGAATGCTATTAACCCTGTAACCTGATAACACGATAAGCTGTCCAACTGTAGTCACCGCTGTCCCCGAAAGGGTTAAGCCAGTCTCATGGTCTCAGTTGTCCAGGTTGAGTCCGTGGATTTTTTTTCTTCGAGACTCGGCGCTCTCAAGACCTTATATCTGAAATTGTCTCAGGTTTTCTGGACCCATATCTTTAAATTCAAAGTCTTAGGTTAGGACACGTGTCCCCAGATTGGGGCTGGGGGTTTTAGTGCCTTTGTCCAAGGGCACAAAGTGAATGGGCAGCTTCAAAAATGACCATTTCTAATTTTCCTGGCGGTAGGCCCCTCCAGGCCTGAAGCCGAGTCTTTACCGACAAGTTCTTGAGCAAGTAACATGCCAAGAATAAGATTCTCTCCGATCAACCAGGAATGGTGATTTGGTTTCTGGTTGGCCAGTTTTAGTCCAAAATATGTCAGAACACAAATCGGCGTCTCCGCGGACCATGACCATCCCATCTGCCAAAAATTGAAAGAAAGATCCCTTTGAGGACTCCAGAGTCGCAGCACAGCCCCCCCCCCCCCCGCACTCTCAGCACAATCTAAACAAGGCCGGATGTTTGTCATATTGTTAACAGCCCAGCAGTCTGACACTGTTATTCTTGGCTGGCTGATTGGTTCCAGAGGAGACATATATTTATCTCCGCTGCACTCGCAGCCACAAAGTTTCAACTTCTACCTTAGCTCTTAACCTAAGAACTGCAAAGGGGGGGATCTTTCACATCCCCAAAACCATCCAGTGCGTGTTTGCCACCTTGAAAACATTAAAGTACCCCTCAAATTGCATCTGGCACTCTGTCGTTGCTGCTCGTTGTCATTGTTTCTACCCCACTTCACCGCTGCGCTGTTACGTAACGCAACATTTCAAGGTTTTTTAACCCTTTTGGAGCGTGAGGCAATTTTTTTTTTTTTTAACTAACATTTCACGCTTGTAGGATTGTTCTTGCTTGGTTGTCGCTCCTCGATTCCGACAGAGAAGACGTAGCAGGACGCCGGCGTTTGATCTGCTAAACATAAGAGAGCACAGTTGCGCTCCCTGGAGCAATAAGCCTCCTCCCTGCTGCCTCCTCGACTCCGAGGAGATGCATCATTTCCTGGGCCATTGCGTCCTACACCCCTCCGCCCCAACCAACTCGACGCACCCCACCCATCCTTCTGGGGCCGAGATTAACCTCCAAGATGCACGCAAACACCACAATGTATAAGACAGGATGGGCAAGGGCGTGCTGAGGGTGTCGCAGATGTCCGGGCTAATGGAATGATGACGGGTGGCGGTGGGCCCACTGCGAGTCTTGATTTACTTGAGGGTCATTTAAGAAAAAAAAAAACAAAAACAAAAACGGGATTTATTTCATTGCCTTCGCCAAGTGTGAAGGCGGTTTATGGTGGACAGACGATGTCATGGGGACTCCAAGGTGGAAGTCTCTGGAGTGGCGTGAACAAATGATGCGTAGAAAACAACGCCGCAAGCTAATGTAGCGTTATAATGACATGTTTGGTCCTCTAAATATCTTCCCTCATTTGTCCCATTTGTCAAAAAAAAAAAATAAAATCAACTTTACAGAATCAATGATAACATTAATGATGTATTAAGCCTTTGAGGGACAGCGGTTACTACAAGCAGACAGCTTATCATGTGATCAGGTTACAGGGTGCATGAAATTCATTTCCACTTCAAAATAGTCAATATTTTAAGACTATGTACGCCGGAAATATATGTTGAATATGATTTATATTTCGAGGATTTTCACCTTCTGACATAGAGGGAGTCTATTCTTCTGTTTGGTCGATTCGGTGTATAAACAATCAAAGAGCATAATTTTCTGTTTTGAAGGAGCTGGCAAAATGGGGGCTGGTATCGAAATGTGTGAAGCCGCAACGGCTGTTTGATTGGATGCTAACATTAGGCCTCTGATAGCCCAAGTGAAAGGGAAAGGGAAAAACTCAGTGACCTTTAACAGGCCATTTTTGAGTATAGGTAAGGGGGGGGGGGACAGGGCGGGAGAAGCGGAGGGTGGTGGGATGGGGTAGGGGGGGTCTCTCTATGTAGACCCTGGTAGCTTAATCACTCTTCCTCCAGGGTCCAGATGGACACATGTTTAATTACCATGCTGTGATGCCGCACGACGAGAGGACACTCCCTGCCTACCGACGGTCTTAATTTCTCTCCGACACACGAGGAAAAATATCGTCAAGATAATTAGCTTGAAAAGGAGGATGGGGATCGGCGAGCGGGCGGGGGCGGGCTACAGAGTAGTTAGATATCAGAGTAACAGATTGGCAGTCTCGATGGGGGCTGCAATTACATTTTCCTTGGCGGAAAGTCTCCTGTGGCGCCGGTACGTCATCACACGCGTGAGTGACGCTGCCCCACGCAACACATGCTTCACAACAGCGCCAGTTGGCTCACCCCAATCACATCCCAAGCCTGAAACTGTCATGTTCCTTTCCTTTGTGACGGAAAGAAACACCAATGATGACAAACAGACAAAAGCGGGTTCATCCACCCGTTTTCGGCCATCCGAGGAGGCGGACATTTTAGGGCAGCACCGCCCCCCTGCTGTCGACTGAAATTGACAACAGAGAGCCTCCGGGCTCGCATTGCTCACGTTATGCGAAAGCGAGCCCGTGGCCACTTTGATGGTAATTTCAGTCGACAGCAGGGGGCGGAGCTGTATATGTATGTACATATATGATGTAGTACAAAGTACAAACAAAAAAACAAACATATTTTCTGAGAGTATATATATATATATATATCTATCTATCTATATATATATATATATATATATATATATATCTTTCTAAAAGCACATCAGAGCAGTTTAGCATGTCATTTTCCACATGGCCACTCCCTGTGAGGTTAACGCACGGATGCCCGCAAGCAGATACAGTCACGAGTTGGCGCTCACGTGACTGCCGGCGATTGTCTCTATCGTTTGCGTTTGCTGAGTCAACATTGGGCAAGTTATGCAGAAATATGCTAAATCCCAACATTTTATGCTCCTCCTCCGAACACGAGTTTGTGTTTGCTCGCTGAGGAAAGTTTATTTTGCTGTTTGGCGCTTTTGAGGAGTGAGATTTCTCTCTCTCTCTCTCTCTCTCTCTCTCTCTCTCTCTCTCCCCCTCTCTCTTTTTTTTTTCCCCCTAATGGATGCTTTTCTGCCGCGCCGCATCAGTGCTGAATTTACGACAGCCGGAATTCCCTTCCTCTGCAGATCTGCTCATGCGGAGTAATTGGTCCATTTTTCAGAAGCAGCAGACAGTGAGCATCACGTGTCCGCGGACAATGACGCCATCGAGGCAAGGCTAAGGGAGGATGAGCCACTTAAACCAGGGGTGGGCAACCTAAAGCGCGTGGCCCACAAATGGCCACATTTGGTGAGGCTATGTAGAGGGAATTCCTGGAAAGGGACGAAATCCCACAAACCAAAAGACAAAATATCGGATTGCCAGTGTTTCCGATAAGACAGGGTCTTTTTTAAAATCCGTGCACGCTGTTTTGAGAACGCATCCCATATTTCGTGTAAATCAGACGCGCAAGTGGCGGCTGTCGCTATTGTGTACCGGTGCCGATTGCACACCTTTTCACGTTTTTTTTTTCCCCTTCTTTCTTACAGAGAGAGCCGAGCTCAACTCGCTGATTTGAGCTGCAGACACTGAGGCGGAGCGCGGCGGCGTGAGCAGACGAGGTAAAGTCCAACTTCTCTTTGCCAACAAACGGTCGCACGGTTGCGATTATTGGTGACTGGAGACGAGCACGAATTGACCACCTGTTGTCCATTTTGTCCTTTATGATGATCTTTAGTTGTTGGCACACACACGCATGGTCATCTGAGCCATGACGCGCTCTCCTCGCCTACTAATTATCATTGTGAAATGATAAATCATAGTGCTTACCAAATATTGGACCTTTTTTTTTTTAAATTCAGCCCCTGAAGCCAGTTTTACTCGGCAGTGTGAAATTTGGTGGGCAAGCGTATCCAGAGTAGAAAATATCTTAAGAAGCCGTGTCTGGAAAGACACAGGAAGTCGGCCATTTTGGTTTGAAGCGGCCATCTTGGGGGAATTTTGGACAGTTCCAACATGTCCTTCCAAGGCAGACAACGACTAAACATATTGTCCACTTGATACTAAATTTGAACCGTGTGTACTTGACAGATGTGTGACACTTAATTGTGAACGATTTCATCACTGCATGGAGGCAGAACATGTCAGCAAAATTTAATGACTTGCCATAAGATACAAAGCTCATAACAATAACTAAGATGCACAAAGTCAGAGCCAAACCAAATGTCTTGAAAATTCAGATGCCAAAGCCAGTTTTACTTGGAATTTCGTAGGCCTGTCTATCATGAGTAGACCCACAAAAGTATGTGACGTTTTAAGACTAACAAGGACAATAAAGTCCTAATTTTGTGCCGACACCCCACAAACCTGAAAGCGCAACGTGGTAGCAATCCGCTAACCCTTTTTCAACGTCTCCCCTGAGTTGTGAAACAATAACCTCGATACAAAAGATGACTTTGACTCGTCAATCACGCTCGAGAAGGAAACCTCGACCCCATTTTCATCCGGGAGGCACAAATGTGTGCGCACGGCGTTCCAAATAACCAACTTTGTCTCAACTCAACAAAGAGATGGGGTCACTGTGTGCTGCATTTATTTTTTATTTTTCTGTCAAAGGGGTGTGAAAACTGAAATGTACCAACTCATACCACGGGTGGCATATTTATCGACCTACTGAGAAAGTTTGTGTGTGAGATCCATCAATGTTCACTCGCAATGCACCAACAGAGGTCAGTCTTAAGCCCACTGGGATTCATCCCGCTTCAAGGGAAAAACGGGCAGCGGGAGGGCTGGCATATGGTCACGGGGGTCCGTGTGCTATTTTATCGCCACTATCAGCTAGTCCACCAGCTTCTAAGGCTGGGGAGCATCTGCGGACAGGAAAACCAGTTTAACAATTAATAGTCAAGTGGGTGGAAGTAAAGCTAATCACATACTACCATTATAAATGAATGATAATAAATAAATCAGTTAACACAGCTTTTATTATTCCCGCAATAAGCAAATTGGAATTGTCTCCGCTGCTGTAGTGGATACAAATACTACGATAATAAAAAGCACTACAAATAAATTAAATAAAGGTAAATGAAACAAAATTAATCCATTCATTGATTATCTGAACCAGTTATGCATGCCAGGGTCACGAGCGTGCTGGATGCTATGAAACTAAATTCAACAAAACACAAAAATGAAAAGTAAAAAAAGCAAATAACACAACAAAATTAAAAAAATATATTTTAAAACAAAGGCAACAACAACAGTTAAATAAGGCAAAAAGCAAGATAACGGGCTAACGTCATACTAGCATTCGGTTTTGTGTTACGTGTACGTCCAAATAACATATTGCGCTAGCGAGCAAACGTCATACTAGCCCACGAACGAGATATCCCGCAGACCGATCTCAATGTCATGCAATAAGTCAGAGTTTCACTTGATTTTTGTGTGGTGTCTGATGGGTCCACACAACATCATGTGCTTGCGAGCCATGCAGAGTCAAAACATTTATTAATAAAATAAACTATTAAAAAAAATAGTTTCAGACAGCTAATTAAGACATAAAAAGTGTCCATTATATGTTAGCTTTTGTCAAGCTTCTTTCTGTGTAAATATGTAATTTCTTTGTATTATACTGAATGAGCTCGTGTGTTTATTGATCCGTGTCACGTTTATAAAATATGTGCACAACCGGGCCGTACGTATTCCTGGCATGACTCTCTGTGCAATGATCTCTGTGAAATGGAGCTGTGGACAAAGCAGTACCGCTCCCCACCTCATTCACCCCCAGCCCACCTCCCCGCCACCGCCGCCCCCAGCTGCCTAGCAACTGAGGCCATAAATAAAATGGCCGCATGTGTGTGATAATACACCGAGTGTGGGTGTGTAGCGCGCGACGTACGACGGTCCGGTTGACGTGACCACATTCTGTACCGTGCAGACCGTGCCCATGGCGAGCAATAACACAGCCAGCATTGCACAAGCCAGGAAGCTGGTGGAGCAGCTGAAGATGGAGGCCAACATCGACAGGATAAAGGTGAGGCGAGTGGGCGTGACCGTGACCGGAGCGTGATTGTTTTCATCTTCCCCATTAGCCTATGCTGGAGCATGAGGAATTCTGCCTAGCAACAAGTGGCAAACGTGTGATATGGCCAGTTGGGGAAGTGTGATTTTTTTTTTTTTTTGTTTTCACTCATTTAATAAAATATGTGTTTATTTTTTTACACTCATTTAATAAAATAATGATTACATTAAAATGTGGAGGTATTTTAATTAAATATTTGAGTTTTGTTAAAAAGGAAGTCAAGTAAGGAAATTCTTGATGTGCCGCCACGAGTCTAAACACGGAATTAAGAAGAAAAATCCACCAGTCTTTGTCCAGCTCATTGGGCGGCCATTTTGTCTTGTACTACCACTTGCCGTCGACTGAAAATGACATCACAATGCCTAATGCGACGTTCAGTGAATGTGAAACATGCGGCACGTGTGGGGTCTTTGTAGATTCATCTAACACATTTGTGACTTTAGTCACGCATTTTTAGATTCATGTTACCTGAATTATTTTTACAGATTTGTGGATTAAAATGCATATTGTAAATGGTTTTGCAACAATAATGGTCCCATATCCTGCTTTTTTTTCAAAACCAATAGCAACATATTTTGTGTTAAGATTTAACATTTGGACATAGATTTTTATTTTGACATCAAGGTTTTGTTTTGTGATTTTAGGTGTCGAAAGCAGCGGCAGACCTGATGTCCTACTGCGAAGCGCACGCCAAAGAAGACCCGCTGCTCTCGCCAGTTCCCGCCTCAGAGAACCCCTTCCGGGAGAAGAAGTTCTTCTGCGCCATCTTGTAAAAAAAAAAAACCAACAAATAAGTAATGGTGACATCACCGACGCCATGCACGAAGTTTTGAACGCGGACGTTGGGGTCGGGGGTAAGATGTAGAAATCTTAAGGAATCTCATCTGTGGATGAGAAGCATCAGAGGCGTTTGTGGTGGCTTTTTTTTCCGGGGGTGAAGCATGATGAGGGTCGGTGCTTTGATGATGATGCTAACGGAGTGATGATGGACGACTCTTCAGGCTGTGACGTGTGCAAAACTAGTTAACTTTTTGTGTTTTTTGTTTAGAGGTGTGCGCGTGTGCTTGTGTGTGAGTGAGTGAGTGAGCGAGTGTGACTGACTGTCGCACAGTAGGACTGCAAATTAAACGTTCTCTCCCTCCGCTAGATACCACCTGACGGTTGAAACTATGATTTCAGTGGTTGCTCTTACCCGGATATATCTTTCTATAACTCTATGTGGTTTCTTTTTTAATTTCTATTTTTTAACATCCATAAAGTTAGCGACAGCTTTTCAGTGGGATGTTTTGGAATACTCGGTGGTGTGATTTTCTTCTCGACATACAGTGCAGAGTAAGTTTATGGGAAACAAACAAACAAAAAAATTCCGTCTACGGGACGATCTGTTTAACGACAATGTGATCAAGTCTGTCTCCTTTCCCGTCACGCAAACGTTCTTTCTACTCTTTGTACAAAAACAAAACGATACGCGAGTAAAACTGTTATGTGCCGTAAAATGTGGGTGTCTTCTGCTTCTTTTTGTAACCGTATAAAACAAGCTGTATGCCTATAGAAATACTTAAATGTGCTAACATTTAGAAAACATTACAATTACAAAGCAGAAAAATACAACAAAATATAAAACAATTTCAATGAAACAATATATTAATGAAATATATGAAATACAAATCCATTATTAGACTAATAAAAGTGACTAAAATAGTACAAAGCTTAAAAAAAAAATTGTACCGTACAGGAAATAAATAGCAAAATAAAATGAAACCACGTTTAAAACATACGAAAAAACATTGTACAATAGAGTAACATTCTTTGGGTCTCCTGGAAAGTGCGATACAAAAAAATGCAAAAAGACAAGACCTAATAATGTATATACCTGTACCCTTCATTTGGGTTCATTCCATAAAAGCTACAAAAAAAAGCTAGCTAGCTGTCGGGACAAAAAGAATGTGAATGTCCCCTGGTGGTCGGTTGCTCACATGACAACAATACAATTACTAAAGAACTAAATAAATTGTTTTTCTTTACGGGTTAGACTTTTTGTTTGTTTGATAAATTAATTATACAGTTAACGAACACAGTTTTTCGGTTTAATCGACGAGGACCTGTGATGACATGAAAAGGTAAGCAAGCGCTGTTGGCAAGAGAGCTGATCTGTGGTCAGTTTAGTGTTTATTTATTTCTTTTTTAAATTACTGCAAAAGAGAATATAAAAAAGAAGAACATAAAGGAGAAATGAAAACACAAATATATTTGCTTTCATAAAAACAGTTGTTTTTTCACGTAATATCGAGACCAATTCTAAAAGTTTGACGGCTGCCCATCGACAAGTGTTTTCCCTTAGCTTTCAGTATGGGGTAAGGTAGCTTGCACCAACGTCTAAAAATATACCTTTTTGAACGTGACGGCTACTACATGTGGATAGATTAATAGTTGCGGGTTACCAATTGGCAACACACTTATGTAATTAGGAATACAGTAACCACAAAACTGACACATTTAAAGACGGAATGTAAAAAGCTAATGTCAGAAGTGGGATTCGAACCCACGCCTCCAGGGGAGACTGCGACCTGAACGCAGCGCCTTAGACCGCTCGGCCATCCTGACAACTGAATACGAAATGGCAATAGAAGTAACTTAAAGTTGACAGCCGATGGTCCAGTCAGATGTCCCACCGATCTGATGCCACGTTCGTGTCAGATGCCCGACATAAATGAATGAGGCTGTACTCGAAATCCTGTGCGTGTGTGTGTGTGTAATCGATCAGCCAGCTCGCGTAATGTCCGCCATTTTCAATAAAAAAAAATACCCTCCTAAAATGGCCCGCCCCTGTTCAAAGGTGAACCTTGAGTCGGCTGTTCCGTTACTCCCCACCACGCTGTGTGGCAGACTTTTACAAGCGTGCAATTACGTAACAAGCCACTGACGTCCGCACAGAAAGTCCAGTTTGCATAAATTTTGGGACGAGAGGACGCCGCCTGTCTTACCTTCGCCCGCTTTTGCTCTAAAAATCTGTGAGTTTAAGTCATTGATTGCATGTTTGCGCTGGTCCGTTATGTGACACTTGCTGTTAGCCTTCGCGTTAGCGTGTAGCGTGTTGTGGCATCACGTTTTTTGCGGAGCTCTTCCAGATTTTTCTACTCAATTCGACTTCATTTCTCGCGAGAGTTTTCTGTGTCTGTTTGGATGCTGCTGAGCTTGTCCGCGATGTTTGGAATGAGTTCAAAGTACCCGAGTCTCATTTTTTCAGCGTTGCGGTGACCGTTTAGTAAGCCCAATTTATTTACACTTGCAGCATTTTTGCCGAAAATAACGGATAAAGTGAATATTTGTTTCATTCGGCGTACATGACAACAGCATTTGGGAGTCTGAAAACAAACGTTGGAAAAACGGTTGCGGGTACTTGTGGGACCACAGAGCCTTTGTCTCATTTATGCAGAATGTACCTGAAAGAAAGCTTTGGCTAATCGAAGCTGCTTCTGTCACGTGAACATAGTTGCTTGCCACGACATGCCACAAAGCACTGTTCCATTAGAAAGTGATTTTATTGCTTATCATGGAATCTTAAGGCGTTTTCAGTAAGAGCCCCAAAAAAGCAAGTGTTTCACAAATAACGGAGGATATTTCTCCCTCATAAAAAAACTATGAATGGAACAGGGAGCACAGTACAATGAGCGTTATTTTCTCAGGTGTTTTACATGCCAATGATATTTTGGCAACTTAAAAACAAATTACTATAAAAAGGGTCAAATTCAGTGATGAAATTCCTCCGAAAAATTCTCTCAAATTAATCCGGATATTAGTTGACAACATTGAACGAACGTTTGATTTTGTTGTTTTGCTTTCGTTTTCACTAACAGTAACACACCCTCCCCTCGCATTCTCATGTCCTCGTCATATCTCGGAGATTTCGAAATGTTGTCGAGAACGGAAGTCACAAAGGGTGCAGCTGTGCACACAAAAGGCAGATTAATCATTGAAAGTCGAGTGTTTGAATAGCGTTTTGTGTAAACTAATTCATGCGTGATCGGCCAGGTAAGGCCCCAGCGCAATGTTCAAACAGGTAGACAAGCAAGCTGACATACCTGCAATAGACGCGAGTGTTAGGAACAAGTTCAAGTGGTCATAGCTTAAGGAAAAGGACTTGAACGGAGATTTTTTTGTCCGACTACATTAGAAAGGTCGACAAACCTGGTAAGTCAGTTAAAATCCACTTTCATCTCTGCAAATTGCAATTGTCACATTTATGCTAACCGTGCCAAAAACATAAAAAAAGGCGTTCTTTTGACTATTTATATGCCAATGGCTTCTCATCCCTTGAGAACAAATGTTTAAAAATGGTTCAAAACCATGTCGGTGTCACGTAAACATCCCCCAAGTTCCCTCGCATCTTCCTTTCCTGGAACCTACTAATTTCCCTTGCGTTCTCCTCAGAATGGCTTCCACCCCGCCGAAAAATTTCTCATGGGTGGACCCAGGAAAAGTGGCCGGGCTGGCCCTTCCCCGGATGACGGCAGAGTACCAGTATCTGCTGGACCAGGGCATCCAACACCTGGTGTGCCTGTGCGAGTGCAAGCCGCCCAATTACGACACATGTCCTAAGTTGCAGCTGCATCACATCAAGATCAACGACTTCACTCCACCGTCGCCGTCTCAGATCGATAAATTCCTCGCCATTGTGGACGATGCCAACAGCAAAGGAGAGGTACAAGACTTCAGAGACGTCCAGGGGTCTCGTTTAGCCGTGTTTCTGGTTCCGTCTGTTTTGCCACGGGACATTTTGCATTGGTAAATCCTGATCAGTTTCATGTTCTTGTGGTAACAGAACAGCAAAGTGTAGCCAATCATAATTCAGTAGCGCCTCGATGTTTCAGTCACATTTTTTAATGAAATAAAAATGCCCAAAGGTGAAGAGTATTGGACTTTGGCACCAATTATTGTGATTTTTTTTTATTTTTTTTACGCTTGTCACCCCCCCCCCCCCTTCTAGGGAGTGGCTGTCCACTGCATGCATGGCCACGGAAGAACGGGCACCATGCTGGCCTGCTACCTGGTCAAGACGAGGAAAATGGCCGGCATCGACGCCATCAACGAGATCCGCCGACTGCGCTCGGGCTCCATCGAAACCCACGACCAAGAAAAGGCAGTGGTACAGTTTTATCAACGCATTAAGTAGATAGCGTTACCGCTATTTGTGGGGAACTGGAGAAAATCTTTTGAGTAATCGAGACAATTCCCTGAAAAAGCTTTCTAATTACCAAGAGATGCCAGAAGATGGCGGCAAAGCACTACTTTTATTGCTTTATCATAAGCGACTGTAGATTCCAAAAGAATCAGCTCACAGATGGTATGAGATTTCAACAGTGTTGTACAAGATGAAATACTTGATGATTTCGAGTCTGTAATTGAGACTTTAAAATGCGATCGAGCCAAAAAGAAAGTTCAAGGACACTAAAATCAAGTGTTGTACCATAATAAGTGTTTTACGATCGGTCAGGGTCTAACCCGAAAGCTTTGTTTTGACATAACTTTGTGTGGGCAATTTTTTTAAAACAAGTTTTGCTAAATTTGAGCCTTCATTTATGCACTGGATGCCAGAGAAAATAGACGCTGACGCTCCTTGAACGGTAGCTTCTCGGGAGCCGACGTCCGCCGCGCTTTGTCTTCCCGGCACCTGCGGATCAATACAGTTTTTATTTATCTGTTTTTAAAAAAAAAAAAAAAAAATTAAGTTAAAGACTTTTCACCATGGGAACAAAACTTCCCAAACTTCTCAGGGATCGCTTGCAAAGTGGAGAAGCTAACGTGGTTCACTCTGTCACAAAACAATAATGATGACTTTTTCTTCGGACTCACTCTGGTGTGTTGTCTTGTAGTCGTCCACTTGATATGTAATCTGCCCCCCACAACCCAAAAAAAAAAAAAAAATAGAAAGGACAATAAAATACTGAGTGATAAACAAGCACAAAGTGTCAAACAGGATCAATATTCCACCAACAAAGTACCTGTTTTCTCATCTTTTGGGACGGCAAGACTTTTGGTCTCTGCTTTCAAATCGTCATTTGTTGCTTTCTCCGTTGGGCTTTTCGTTTTCTATAAAACAAACCGTTATTTTGTACATAGGACACCTTTTTTTTTTTGCACCAAACGTATTGAAAGCAACACAGAAAAAAAAATCAAAGACACCAAGAATTACTCCAATGTTGCACCTTCTCGTTTGTTTCTTATGTACATGAAAAATATTTGTGGGTCAATGTGATCTTTAGTCATTTTAGATCTTGGCGAAAAAGAAAAAAAAAAAAGTCATGTAAGCGTTTTAACATAACTGAGATTAGAATGAGCGGAACCAATGGCAGTAACTCTCTTTGGAGTAACATTTACATTACCTGAGCTCTTTTCTCCAACTCTCGTATCATCACCATCATGTCCAAGTCGTCATCGTCCTCATCCTCGTCCTCGCCCCTTTGCTGGATCTCTCGCAGCCTCTTCTGAAACTGCCACTCCAGGCTCAGTCTGCCAAGTCGCTCCGTCTCCTTGGCGCCGAGTTCCTCCTTGGCCTGAAGCGCCTTTACCTCCTGCTCCAGGAGTTCGTCCTCTCTCGGCTTCGGCGTCTCGTTCGGTTCCCGGAAGTCTTTTGGCTCCGCCGGACAAGCGCCATGCTTCTGCTGGCTCAGTGGTTCTTGAAAGGAAACGTGCTTTGTGGGAGTGATGCTCACTTGAGGTTTTGCCGCATGTTGCTGGGATAGCCGCGAAGGTCGAGGCAGCTTCTGATCAGCGGGAATCGGACATGCGTAGTAGTTGACGGGCGGTTTCGGACTCCTTTGATCCGAGTGTCCGTTTATTTGAAGGGTACTACCGGACCTCAGTGCCACAAGACGGGAACGATGTTGAAATGTGGTGAGAGGAGGATTGGCGTGAGAAGCGAGCGGCCTGGTCACGGGGATGTCGATGCGGACGGGTTGGATGGAAGGTGTCGGCGTGGGCTGTTGTGAAAAGGGGGTCCTCCAGATTCCCGCGCGGCTCCCTTGCTGCCCTTTGTCCGGACAGCAGTTGTCAACGAGGAGGTTTTGGTTGGAGACGCTCGGGCGAACGGGAAGGTGCGAGTGGTAGTTTTGCTTGGCACCTCGGCCCTGCCAGATAATCTGACTTGTGTCCAGCAGGGGGCCTCCCGTGTCCACGCACAAGTTCTCCTGTGAAACCGCTTGACGCTGGAAAGGGGAGGAGAAGAGAGTGTATTTTTATGACAAACAAAGCACAGATCGTCATTCTTTACTGCTGCGTTAAGCCTCCTTCATCTTGTTTGCGCTGCTTCATTTTTGTCCGAGTACCGACATGGTGTGCAATGTTAAAGAGCTGCGGCGAAGTCGACGCAGATTGCCAGTACGGCCCAGAGCAATGAAATGAGTGATGATTTTTTACCATCAAGCTCCTTTTGTGAACAGCATTCGGTCCTCCCAAAGGCCTCAGAGACACCTGAAACATTTGCTGCGGTCGACCGGATGCGGATGTGTTCTTGTCCTGATATTTCGGAGTCGGGAGCGTCAAATATTCTCGATGAAATGTCTGCCAACAAACAAAAAGGGTGTCCCTGTGTGACATCTCGAAACAATCGGTGCCAAATGAATCTTTCGGGTGCTTCATCGTACATCGGTGGAAAGGTTGGAAAGTGACTTGTTCCCCCGCACGTCTCGGTTGGCGAGCTCATCCCCATCCTCGAGGGCAAAATCTTTCAGAGTAGGCAAGAAAAATAAATCAAATACTAAAAATATCGCAGTTGTTCATGTGACGCCCCTTTGGTGTATTTCATCGCAAAAATCAGAATGGACGTCACACACCGGCCATGTTGGGGTTGGAGCGATAAAATTGCCTGTTCCTCTGCATGATCTGCGCTTTCTTTTCCCCGCGGCGGCCGTGCCGAAACCCCGACTGCTCCGGTTGAGCAAGCTCCTCCACAGCGTACAGAGGAATTTCCTTCCGGCTTGCTGCGACGTGGCTGTTATCACCCGCTTCGGGAAGAGAAAGTGATCGTCAGAATTTTCAAACAGATCAGCTTTGTGGACGGTTTCTACCTGCAGTCTTAGGAGGGGCGGGATCGCCCAACAGAGCACCGAGGCCATTGAAGCTGGCGCCAAACTTGGCCACTTTTAAGGTCAAAATAGGCCCGGTTTGCATCATGATCGCCGCCGCCCTAAACGGATACAATATCAAAAATGTCCGTCTAGCCTTTGTGGGTTTGGGGTCAGCTGGGTAGCTACCTTTCCTGACTGAGACCGAGGAGGTTTTGACCGTCCACGCTGAGCAGCTGGTCCCCCGCCGTCAACAGTCCATTCTGTAAAAATTGGAACCGTTTCATAAACCCCCAATGGAATGACTTGGGGGGTTTTTCCTCAACCCACCATCTCAGCTGGGCCTCCCTTGACGATTGACTTGATGTAAATCCCAAGGTGGTCTTGGCCCGCTCCCTGAGGCATAATTACATCGAGGATGCTAATCAGATCAGACATTTGGCGAGATAGCGGTGGCGTTTTTGTGAGAACGTGTTTGGGTCTTTTGTGTCAGGGTTGCCACGGTTACCTTGGCAGCCACAATGCTGACCCCCATGCCACTGTTGAGAGGTTTCTTCAGGGTGATCGTAACGGTCTGTGGCTCTTTCTGGTTGTCCTGATGATGAGAGAAAAAAAAAAATCATCCGGTAGTATCTTGACTTCAGAATGCCCCAGCTAATTCGTTTTTCAAGTTCCAAGCTGCGCCTTGGTCGATAAATACACTTTTTTTGTCTCATTGTTTTAGCGACATTTGAGCTTCGGACACACCGTCATTTGAGCAAGGGGGAAAAGGAAATGGAGTTCAGTCCTTCACTGAACCCGACATAGCGTCAAAATGCCAACACTCGCAAGGGCGTCTCCAGCTCCTGATGTCACTCATTAGGCCACACCCCTTAAAGGCTCAGAAATAGCCTTAAGAGTCAGTTTTTGTCTTGCATCATGTATACCAAGTATGGAGTTCCTGGTTCATTGAAGAAGACGGTCCAATCTCCTTTCGGGTTCTGCTGGGAGGTTAGATAGCAGAGACCTACGAGGGAAGCATCACACAACGCTGGTGGTTTGATTTCGTACGATTCAAATCTTTCCTTGTCCATTACCTCTCTGGCAAATGGGCTCCAGGAACTCCCGAAATCCGGGAGGGGTTCCTCTCATGCTGTCGCAGGAGTAGCCGCCATCTGGCAGCAGGAAGGGCAGGTGGAGGTCTAGGTTCTCCTCCAGCTGTACGTCTCGGCCTTCCTGCCGAATCAGATTGTCCGCCGAGGCCTCTGCGGCCATGACCGCAGCAGTGATCAATTCCTGCAGCAAGATAGTGGGCACGTCACATCATAAAGTGAACCCCGCCCTACCCCGCCTTGCCTTACCGCTGGGATGTGAGGCTCATTGGGGGCGTAAAAGTATCCGCTTAGCAAAGCCTGCAGCTGCAAGGAATTCAGCTTGAAGCAGCTGTTCTGGATCTCTTTCACATCTTCTGTGGTGTATTTATTCATGGTCAGGAGCATCGTTGCCTGTTTGAAAAGAAATAAAACATTTGACGGGTGTACTGTTATGAACGTTTGGGGTCGTATCCTGTTTGCTGTGATGCGAAACCCGACCGACCTGGATGACGCGTCCCAGATGGCAGTCGGCCGCCAGCTCCAGGCCCTGCCTCTCCGCCCAGGCCTCTATGCCGGTCAACCTCTGGCGGAGAGCCGCCCCCCAATAGTGGGAGCGCAGGCCCGGGGTGCTGGTGTCAGGGTTGACGAGACGGTTGAAGAGCCAGGTGCTGATGAAGTGGAAGAGCTGGGAGAAGAGCTGGATGGCGAGGGCCGGGTTGACCTGGTAGCGGCGCAACAGTGACATGCTGTTCATCAAGGTGTTCAGCACCATCTCTGTCACAATAGCGAGGCAAACGGGAGACCTTTTGGTAAGGCTGAGGTAATTGTGCTTCGTGTTGTCCGCTGCGGGATGTTTTTACCTGTCCCGGCAGGAAGAGGACCATGTTGCTCGGGATCGATCAAAAAGGTCGGCAGATTCTTGCTGAGCTCAATCTGGATGCACTGAATCAGGTGGCTGGAGTGATACAAACACACGGAATCCAAAAGTAAACGCAGTGGTACCTCTACTTACGAAATTAATTGGTTCTGGAAGAAATTTCTTAACTTGAAATTTTCGTAAGCAGAGACGCGTTTTCCATGTAAATGCCCTAATCCGTTCCAAGCGCACCCCCAAAATTCAGACATCAATGTTTTCAAAAGCATAAAAATGCATCTAAACATGTAACAAATACATGTTCCAATTAGATTATTGCACAATAAATGAGAGTTGTGCATCATGCGAAAGACAATAGAGTAAAGAATAAAAATGATGGTCATTTCGCTTTTAACTGCGTCCTCATCGTTTTTGGCCCGTTCATGTTCTCTCTCAGAAGTGGTTTTTGCCTGGCGTTTTGTCAAGAACTGATCCAAGGACGTTTGCTTTTGTCGGATTTTAACGATACCTCAAAAATGTCCAAGGCAAACATTAGCATAGTGAGCGATCGCTGGACTGGTGAACACCTTTTCTTGTCACTTTTCACATTTACTTAAAACGATCGGAACCCCTCATAGCCCGAAGGGCGAATGATGAGGACGCTGTATAGACACAGATCTATCTACACACACAGACACACTCTAAGCCAATGGGACGCCAGCAAGATGCTTGGTCATAGCCAATGGCAGAGCAGCTACAAGTATGTTGCCTTCAGGAAACTCTGAGCTGTGAGTAGCAGCAGCCCATCCTGTATATTTACCTTTTGTATCTTGAAATTTCTTTTCATAACAAGAGGCAATATTGTCCTGTTGAGGCGTTTCATAAGTTGAACATTTCGTATGAAGAGACGTTCGTAACTCGAGGCACCACTGTAGATGGATTTTAATTCAAGTCCGTGCCAAGAGTCAAGAGCGCCTTTACCTGTAAGCTTTGTGCACGAGGTGCGACAGATCCAACTGACTTTGTCGCGTGAGCCCGCTGAGGTCCTTGTCATGTTTGAAAAAGTTGAGCAGCTCTGAAGTGTTAGCCAACCAGAAGGCGAGAGCTCCGGCGATATCCTGCTGCCTCTGGAAGATGAAGAGAATATGCTGTCTTTGTGGCGTCCCCCCCCATTCCTCATTTGCATCCCCACCTCTGCCTCTGACACTGGGCAGACTCTACGTGACAAGAGTATGCTTCTGGACTTGCCTGGATGACCTTGCTCGTCACAGCCACCATTTTGTCTACGATAGAGCTTACGCCGCCAGTCGCCGCGTCCGGACGTCGCAGCGCGAAGCGGCCCGCGGCGTAGAGGGCATACGCTGGCGAGAGCTTGAAGTGAATCGTGGAGCTGTTGGAGTAATTTATGACTGCCGTCAGGAAGGCCTCCTCGGCTGAAAGGTCACATGGGGACATGAGAAGACGCGAATGCTTTCTTGGTTCACGTTCGTCGTCCGTGTCGCTGCTGTATGTTTTTTTTTTTCTGCCTTAAAAGTATCCAAGATGTCAGTTAATTCATCTGGATCTCAAACCGTGGTTGACTTTACCTCTCCCTCTTTCCATATTTTTTCATGTGTCGTCATTCGTGCATTTAAAAAATAAGTCAGAAAGTTATGTTGGCAAAGGAGCCAAAAGTACGGGAATCCGTTTTCAAAAAACGGGTATTTGAACTTGGTCTTACACCTCTGCCCTGCAGTTGTACTCACAGTGATCGCAGAGTTGAATTCCAAGCGGTAAACCAAGCTGATCGAAGGAGTCCGGCTGAGGACCGCCTGTGCAATTTCATATTCATGTCATCAATCTCAAAGCAAGAACCCGAAGCCGCCGTCCTTTACAAGTATGTCGACAGATGACTTACTTGTGTCCGCCTGCCACTCTCCTTGCCTTTTCGCTCCCGTGCACCGTCCTGGTGTTTCTGGGTTGCCATTCGCTGGGTTTTCACTCGCCCTAGATATTTGTTTGGACAAGTAAGGGGTCTTCTCATTAATTTAATTGCAGTCAGATGTCTTTTTTGTTTGTTTTTGTTTTTTTTAACCTGTTCTCGTCCCCTGCAGGCTCGTCAGCCCCTTTGTTTCTGTTCTTCTTGTCTTTTCTCGACAGCGTCCTCTTGAAGGTCTGGATCACGCCCCCCTTTTCCTTGTTGTGACCGCTCTCCTTTATTGATCACATAAGATTTTGACATTTCACAATGATATTAAAATGTTCTCTTGAAGATCGCATAAGGCAGATGATACCCCGGGCGTCTCCTTGCTTTGCTTAAGCACGAACCGTCCTTCTCGGTTGTCCGAGTTCCAGTTTAACTGAACCACCAAAGGTCTCTCGTCTGGATCCAGTTGACGTTCTTGTTTTGCGCATGGACAGAGAAAGCAGAAATTGTAAGGAATCGGAGCGGTGCCGCTTTTGGACTCGGCGTCTCACCTTTATTGCCGTGGATCTCGTACAAGGAATGGCAAGTGCTGAGCATTTTCATATCGGGCCGGAATTTCTCGGCCAGAGTTTCGACCACCTCGGTGGTTGAAGCGTCGCTGCAAAAACGCAGGCACTTGGTAGCAACGTTTCCCCCGGCACGATCTTCGAAGTAGAAGCGCATCACACCCTGAAACACCAGATTCTAACAACGGCAAAGAAACAACACCTGGCTTAAGCTGTTGTCAATGGTCAAGGTGAAAACACAGAGGACTTGAGTTTTCAAAGGGAGTAAATTTGATCGGGCACCAAAACAGACGTGGAAACTGATCGACTCAAAGGGTGCGCCCAGGATTTCATCTGCCAAAAGGGCAAAATTGAGGTGGCCTTCATTTGCTTTTTCATCATACTGGGAGAGCTTGATGCAAATCGAGTAAGTTAGCACATGCAATCTGATTTATCAACACGGAGACGTATTGTGGTGTCTGGTTTTGGGAAAACTGAACCCGCGCAGTTTTCGTAACCATGACTGGGGGTTATTGTAGTAGGAGACAACACGAGAGACAAGAGGGAGAACAGATCTGTTCAAATTTTTGAAATGCCAGAAACCAAAAATCGAGACGTATCATCTTTTTTCTGCAATTGTGAACGATATAAGAGCTGACTCGGAGCCAGTCACAAGATGGAGTCATGCCAGATGACCGATGACAAAACTCTGCTTTTCAACTTTAGCCATCATACAATTTAACGCCTGTTTTTTGGGGGATCGTAACCAGGCCAGAGGTGTCAAATCGAGCAGGCGGCGGGCACTGATTTTGGTCATTGCAGCTTACTTACCGTGTCCGGTTCGCTTATTTCAAACAAGTCCAGTCTGTTGTTGTTCCACCGCCTGATGACGTGGGCCAACTTTTCCCGTTCTTCCTCGGTCGGCATTTTGCGCCAGCGAATGCTCCCTCCAGCTGACTTCCGGAGTCGAGAGAAACAAACTTTCCCAACTGTACCCGTCCCTGTTTGCTTGTGCTTTAAGCTCGCCATGCCCCCTCAGCGAGGTCTTAACATCATCGCCGACTTTATCCCCTCTTCACGGCCCCCCTCCAAGCCCCCCCCCCCGCCCTCATTAAATGGGTCAGTGGAGCTTCGTTATGCGTGGGGAAAATGTTCCCAATCGTACATCAGGGGCGTGTTATTTCTGTCCTTTGACCTCACCAACGATTTAAATCTCCGATGATGGTCAGTCGGGCAAACTCCTCATGACTGCAGTTGAATCAAAAAATCCGTTGGTCGAAAGTAGTTTATTTTTTTTGTGCGTTTCCTGGGGTTGCCAAACATATTTTCTAAGTCACCATCAGATTATCTTTTTTTTTTTTTTTTAACGGCGTGAAGGGAAACCCACTTCTCACGCATCCCAGCGATCTACAGCACAGTTACCGCATACGGGTCGTTCCATTCAGTTGACGCGACGTATGTGGGGCAGCTTTTGTTGGCCTCCCTCGGCCTTTTCTGGGTAAACGTTCAGTGGGACAAAGGCTTGAACAAAAACATGCCTCAATTAGATATACAGCGTACAAATAGATGTCTTCAACAATCCCTTGTATTGTTGTCTGGATTTTAGAAAAAGAAACAAAAAAAAAGGCAAAGAAGGCAGGCGCGGAAGAAGTTTACATCTCACAAATTTCTTTATTGGTCCTTCTAAAATAGACGTGATGCCAAAAAAATGCCTGGCAAGGAGAAAGTAACAGACAGACGATGATATCATTTTGATCGAATTTGTTCTGAGAACACGAGCGGGACGGGCCTTGTCAACACAATAAATTAAGCGCCGGGCGGCGGTGAATGGGCATTCACAACCCTGTTTTCATTGGGAATCCTTGAAATGATCACATTGTGACACAATGGATGCATCAGATCCACCATTTTGGGTCACCCATCTGTCAAGGATGTGCGCTTCAGATTAGAGCTCATTTGGACTATTTCCCGGGGAGGCGTTCGTCAAAGTACCAACAATTTGCCCCAAAAACGGCTGCTCCAAACCCAAGTCGCCTACTTCTTCTTCAACTTCTGGCACAACCTTTTCATCCTTTCCAGGAGCTACTAACGGATGCGCTTTGTGGAGTGGTTGAGATTGGGACACATGAAATATCACGAGGATACATGAGTAAATAATTGAAGGATCATCGAAAGGCAATCAATTCGTCAGAATCATCGGTTAAATTCCAAGAAGGGCCCGAAAGATGCCGAAATCTTCATGAGACTCCCTCCTCTTGTCATGTCATGGAGTCGTTTGCCTCCTTGGATTGGTTTTGTTTTCTACAAGAGTGGACGAGAGGACATTAGAGCTGCTTCAAGTGGATGCCACATCCTGAAGATGCATGCTACACGCATCCCGATTTTTATTATTATTGTTTTTATACCAACAGAGCACACCGGTTTGTGAACTCTCTCACTGCCAACCCTCCCCATTGACAACGCATATTTGGCATCTCTCGCCATCGATGAAAAGGTGCCGCGGGGCATCCAGACTGCCGGTCAATGCAATGAAGAAAGAAGAGGAGTAAAATAATTGCACCTTCTTAGATTCTCCATGTCCTCGATGGTCTCCGGCAGCGCAACTCCTTTCATCTCCGGCAACAGTGTCACCGAGCCGCAGTTAACAACTGCCAAAGCCCCTTCAACAGCGACAAAAACACGCACGCACAGGATTTGTGGGACAGCGTCATTCATTGACGTCGGGCACCTGACACGAACGTGGCATTCGGATCGGCGGGACGTTTTCGACCGTACCGTAGACATAAAAGGGAAGCTCCTGCCTCAAGGTTGTCAGCCGGTAGAGCAGCAGTGGGGCCACAATGACTCCGGCGTCGCAGGCTGATGAACACACGCACACGCCCAGATTTCTAGGCAAACAGACATGGTCATGCAACGGAAAAGGCTCGATCCCCTCTGAGCCACCGCATAGTTCTCGGTACCTCAAATAGTGTCTGGTCCGCAGACCTGAGGCACCTGAGCTCCTGCTCAGGCCATTTAAACGTTTGAAAACAAATTATAGGATCTTAAAAAGAACTTGTGTGTATGTACGGGGAGCCAGTGAAAGGATGCCAGAGTTATGTGCTCCCTCTTACGAGTTCCTGTCAAGAGGTGAGCAGCAGCATTTTGGACCCACTGGAGACGCTTAATGGAGGATTGTCTGACTCCAAAGTAAAATGCATGACAGTAATCCAGCCGGGAAGATGCCAGGTGCCTACTATGAAAGAAGCTGGATTTTTTATTTAAAATCACTGTCCAGGTTAAGACCCACGTTTGAGACTGTTGGCTTAAGATAAGGAAGCCAGGGGGCCCAAGTCGACAGGATGGGATGTACAAGGGCCACCGGGACCAAGCACCATCGCTTCCGTCTTCTTTTCATTGAAATTCAAGACATTTTGTGCCATCCCGGTCTTAATTTCCTCCAGGTCGGATAAAAGTGGCCTCAAAGAGTAATGAGTCAGTACGGATAATTGGGCTTTTTCTACCACGCAAACGTTTGGGATATCGGTCTCTCTGGTTGAAGGGTCCAGATAACCTATTTACAATATTGCGTTCATGAGACTCATACGACATTGTTGATGTCCTTGAGATCGTGTCTGAGGGAAACACGGCAAAGTAGCGTTTCGAACGTCTTCCTCACAGTTCTGAGGTTCAAGTTTTGAAACCTTGCTCTTCCTATTTGGCCTTTGCATGTCCTCCCTTGTGCTGACGTGTTTTGTTTGTCTATATGTGCCCCAGGATTTGGCCGGCGACCAGTCCTGGGTCTGTCTGGCTTTTTTTTCAAAGGGGCAAGCTCACAGACAACCCACATGAGGGCACGCACTATAAAAAAAAAAAAAAATCTTTCAAAGGATCAGCGTGTCTGAGTTTCAGGCTTTCGGAAAGCGTTCCTGGATCCTTTCTTGTTGCTACACTGCTCCATTCTGACAGCAGACATCTCACACTATCTCTTCTCTGGAAAGAAGTGTGTATCGCAATCATCACTTTCACACCTCAGAGTGGTGGGATACAGCTCGGTGTTTGCAAAGTTGAGCGTCTCCAGTGCCGTGGCAACGGCGAGTCTGCCGATGAACACCACGGCTTTTTTCAACCAGGAAAGCTCTGCGGAGAAGGTCCCATTTCAGAAACGCGGATGACGTCGGGGATGGGGGGGGGGGGTCACCTCGAACCTACCCGAGGAAATGAAGGGGGCGGCGAGGCAGGCGAGCCCCGCGATTAAATTAGTCGACGCCAACAGGGAGCGCCTGCCGATTCTGTCAACCAGCAGGTAGAAAATGAGGCCCGTGGGGAGTTCCACCGCCGAAGAGATGAAGAAGTCCAGGAAGTGGTTGTCACCCGTGATCCCCAGGCGCAAAACCAGACCGAAGAACACGATACTGCTTGAAAACCTGCGCAGGGGAGAATGAAGGCAAACCCTTGGCTGTGAGAAGGAATGCGGTCCGACCGTGAGGATCATCAAACTGACTTGCCAGGCGTAAATTAAGATGAGCGTGTTCCTCCTGATGGCGGGGGTCCTGAACAAGTCCAGAAAGGATAAAGTATGTTGCTCTTTCTTCGTCTCCAGAGGAGTCATCTAGAGGGAATCACATGGGGATCATACAGTAGCTCTAACCGCCCTACAAAAAAAACAAAAAAGATCATTGATTCGTCGCAAAAACTTCTGGATGGTGAAATTTGGGGTTGAACCTAAAATGCACGACAACTTTTACAGGTGCTCTTCATGTTAAGTTCTGCACAACTTGCTGGTCTTTAGAAACCGCATTGAATCGCAACGGTCCACTTGTGCGACAGTTCCGTGACCACTTCCTTCCGACAACATCCTGTTTCGAAACCTCGCTAAAGTTTCCAGAACATCGATTGAAGTTCACCCGGAACTCATTTTTAAATTCATTCTAATATTATTCACTTTTTGGGGTGGGGGTCATAGTGTACCTCTTGGAAGTTCTGTGGCAAGCTTCGTCCGTTGCACTTGGCGACATCGGCCACGATCCGCATGGCCTCCGAGTTCCTCCTTTGAGAGAACAGCCAGCGCGGGGACTCGGCAATCATCCTGGACAAACACATCCTTGTCGGATGCCCTGAATTGGAATATGGAAGTGGGACGGCGGGAAAATAGACTTACCAGTAATACGAGATAAAAAGGAACCAGGGTAGCGTCATGATGAGTTGCAGGGTCTTCCAGGAGGGGACCAAGTAAGCCAAGCCGGGCAGGATCATCATGCCGATGGAGAAGAATGAGCGGCACACCATGGACACCAATTTCCTCTTGTTTGAGCTAAAGAACTCAAACACTGGATTTGGATCAAATTCAAGATGGTTTGATTGACATTTGGTCAATCCCAGCAAATGTTTGACCAGAAGCGGGGTACACACACGCATGAATTGGGGCCAATTGTGTACTCCAGCCGTTCCCCCCCGCCCCACCCCTTTCTTGCAATGAAAGGCCAGATTCTCTAACGTCTCCGTAAGATTGTTTTTTGCATCACCCTGTGGTCCGATCTGGGTTTTTTTTTTTCTTTCCGATCTGCTTGTGAACGTTAAATATGTTCAATCACTTCGTCTCAATGTCTCAAATCCTTACGTGTGGTGCGGCCAACGCAAATTGTTTTGTGTCTACCCAGCTTTTGGAATCAAATCATTGGGAAAATAAAAAAAAAAAGCCATCAACATACGCAGTACATAGCATGACGTCCACGCTCCCTTTTCAAAAAACCCTTGCAGGAAGCGAAATGCCAGAAGCAGCGGGTACCACGGCGACAGCATGACGCCCACGCCCACCAGACCGAGGCAAAACATGAAGGCAATGAAACAAGGCTTCCTGCCAAACCTGTGAGAAGGACGCCTTAGGAACGTTTCATTCGCCGGGATTATTTCCACAAAAAATAAAAAAACGTCGCGAAGCAAACCTGTCGGACAAGTAGCCGGTGATGAAAGCGCCGACGAATAGGCCGCACGCCATTGTGACTTGATTGAGATCAGCGAGCCAGGATCTCTCGCACACCAACGAGAACTGTGGGGGGGGGGGGGGGGGGGGGGAAGATTTGGTTGATGGTTCGATTGGCCTTGTGGTGGACCGCCCGCAGAAGGGGGGGGGTACGCCTCATCTGCTCCGGAAAGATTCTTGGAGTCTCCAGAAGTCTCCCGATAGCGCCCCAAAAAGTCGCTAGTTGCTTTTTTAAAAAAAAACTATGAACCAGGTGCGTTGCTATGGTGACAGAGTTACATGAATGAGAGAGGCCGATTTGCAGTCGAAAAAAAATATTTGTCCCGAGTCTACTTCGAGAGACACTTCCCAATAGCACAGCTCAAGTCGAGTCAAGTTGAACAGATCAGAATAGAAAACGGCGACAAGTACCTCAGAAACGATCGTGGAATAGTTTTTATCGAAAGCCCACCCGCCGTCACACGGCATCACGGGGGTCTTGTTGGACGCCAGCATTTTTTCCAGTTCGTCGCAAGTTTCGTGACTCAGGTTCAAGCGGAACCTGTTGCAGCGGCTGAAGGACGCTTCCGAGCGGGGGATGGTGACCTCCCTCACCTCCGCTTCCGTCCAGCCGCACTCGCCCCGCAGCCGCTCGGCCTCCGGGATGGCGCACCGGTGATCCGGCGTATTGCCGAGGAAAACGACCCCCACCAGGACAAAGGAGAAGGGGATCAGCGGCAGGGAGCAGAGCACCACCAGTCTCTTCTGGAAAAATCCAAAGTCTCCAATTTGCACGATGAGGTCGCTGAAATCCGCCATCGCCGCGAAGGAAGTCGTTGGAGGCGTGCGCAGGGCGCTTGTTTATGAGGAGCAGTCCGGACTCAAAGTCCTGACTTCATTATCAGTCGGGAGTTTATTTGCCGTCCCTTCCTGGAGGGGGAAGCGACTTTCACGTCGACCTTATTTGTGTCTACGACTGCCGTCTGATTTAAGCGAAGAGTCCACTTTCATTTCCCAAAACAAGTTCTTCCTTTGACGACTCAGCAACTTTTTTTTTTTTTTTTGTTATCTCAGAGAATTTATCCATTGCGTGTCATCGACATTCTGTTCTTTAATCCCGCCCACCGAGACTTTACATTCAGACTCCTGTATTATTTGTTGACTTAATTGAGCAGTTTCCCCCCCCCTCCTCAAAAATAGGTTTTGTTAAAACGTGTGTTTGCAGGATTTTAGCGTCTTTTTTTTTTTTTAATACACAGTGTTTTTGTGACAATGTCGCAGGCTGTTTTTTTTTCAAGAAAAAAATGTTAATTGGGGATTCAAAAAAGAATTTTATGGGAGTAAAATTGGATTTTTTTAGATCTTTTTTAAAATGTTTTAATCCGAGAATAAAACGATTTTTTGAGGAAGTGTTTTACTGAAAAAAACAACGATCTACTGAAGTTGGATTTTTATTACCAAAATAACTTTTGGGGAGAAAAAAAAAACAAGAGAATTGAATCTCATTAGAGTAAATGGAATATTATTTCTTTTTCAGAGAATTTTTTTTTTTTTTTACGTGGACAAAGCCCTTTTTATCATGGAAAAAAAATCAAATTATGACAATCAAGCTGTATATTTTTATTGTTGTATTTGTTTAGATTTCAAGTCAATTTTACTGCACCGAATTTGTGTTTTTCATCAAACTCATTCCATTGAGAATGAAGTCTTATTTTTTTTTCTCTCGAAAAAAAATTTCTACGTAATCTTACTGGACAAAATCCAAACTTTTGGGGAGATTTATTTTCAAAAAAATGATTAGCGTTCTATATTTTGAGACTCGTATGACTTGGGGTAAAAAAACAACATTTTAAATCAGATTGTTACGGTAAAAAAGTAAAGTCGATGTCATGAGATAATGCAGATTGGTACACGTCCGCCGATAGTGGGTAATCGGTCGACTAATGATTAATAGCTCCGCTTGTTTTCTTGCCGCCTCGCCTCGGATCAAAGCCGCCACGGACCTTTGTCACGGCGCCGTCGTCGTCTTTGTCGGTTCTGACAGCTCCAATACGCAATGGCGCTGGTTGTATGGCAACTCTTATCAGTGTCTGCGCCTCTGCCCGGCCATTGTTTGACCACGGAGAGCAAATTTACGCAGCACTGACAAGCACGTGCATTCAGGCTCACGTTTCCGTAGCGACAACAAAAACAAAAGCATCCTCGGTGCACATGTCAAAGTCTCCTGAACCGTGCGGCAGATGGCGCTCTTTTTTTTTTGCTTTGCTCTTGATGCGAGAGACTTGCATTATTGATGAGTCGTCGGTATGGGGCTTTGTTTTCTATTCGCCGCGGAGGAAAGCTTTTCTTTCCACGATGCTAATTGATTCATATTCATTTTGAACCGCAGTTTATCGACGGAAACGCCTGCTTCGTCGTGTTTTTTTTTTCTTTTTTTGTGTGTGTGTTTTTACAAAGTTTGGGGCAATTATAATAGAGCATATTGTATTTCTTCATGGTATCATGGCTGGAAAAAAAAAATTCTCGAAAAATAAAACTATTCTTGTCAAAGAAAAGGAGTCGAAAATAATTCCCGACTGAAAAAAAAAATATCAGTGTATGTAAACATATCTGGTGGAAACTGCAAACGCTGAAATATATTTGTTAAACGTACCTCTCTCTTTTTTTTTTTTATTGCCATGAAAATAACACACACAGTACAAAGCCGATCATTGGAAGTGTCAGTCAACAGACTCCAGTTCCAAATGTTCCTGGCATTTGTCGCTCTGCTCTGTGCGCGTCTCCGCCGGTCGCCGGGCGCCTTCGGAAGCTCCCGACGTCGTGGCGTCCGCCGCGGGGTCCACGTTTGACCCGGCGAAGGAGCCGGCGATCTCCTTCAGGAGGGCCCGCTCGGCTTTCAGTTTGGCCAGCTCCTGGCTCAGATGGTTTTCCGGTGCGGCGGCGGCGGGCCCCGCGGGGGCCGCGCTCGCCGCGTCTTCCTCAGGGGTCTCTTTCTCAGGAACCTCCTCCTTCGTCCCCTCGGTCGGGTGACCTTCGGCCGCTTGCGCCTTCTCGTAGAGACTCTTCCTCTCGTCTTGCAAAGCCCTGCACAGACTTTCCAGCTTCTGGTTCTTGATGGCGATCACCTCCAGCTCCTTGTCCCTCACTGCTTTCTGCAGCGCACAATTTAAACAGTCCGTGTGATCATCGTTACACACTGACAAGAAAAAGCAAGTCATTGGTTAGGAAAGTGGTCTGTTTCTTCAACAGGGTGCCTGGCGTGGGGGCGGGGCAGGATGTGTTGTCGGCAAGCTAATTTGATGCAAGCGCGAGTGATGTTTTCTGTTGTCATACTGTTAAAAAACATTCAAATTATTCTCGAACAGTCGATGACTTGGAAATTATGCTGAGTGCCGATTGCGTCGACCGTTCATAAAAATCGGAGGAAAAAAAAAACCAAATTTGCATCGTCATTTAGAACGCGGCGTATTTCAATCTGTAAACGTGTTATTGCTTTGAGGAAAAAAGTGAGAATTTTACAAGGTTAAAGGTGTGGTTTTTAGAGAAGGGTCAACCTGGTGGGAAGTTTTAGATGAATAAAAAAACATTTCTTAAATAAAAATAAAAAAGGAATCTTATAAAATATTTATTTTTTATTCTAAAGGATGAGTGATTCTCATTTTTTTTTAAATCAAAATCATTATTACCATTTAAATCTTTTTTTGTTATATGCCTCATGTTTACTTCCTGATTTTGATGTTTTTTTTTTTAAAATAACGTCGATATACTTTATATGAATAAAGTATATACTATCTTTTTTTTATGAACGCTTAGGCCTATTACGCTACTGTACAATTTAATGTTGGTCATAGTGGTGGCTTTGGATTATTTTAAATATTTTTTTTTAGGTGGTGCAAAGTGAGAAACATTTGAGTCCCACTGATTACTCTGTCGAGGTGGGGGGGGGGGGATTATTGTCCTACAAGAACATCGTCCTTCCTCTCCATTAAAAGTCATACTCAAGTTAAAAGTTGTACTCTCACGATATATTTTGGTCACAAAAAAAAAAAAATCACTATCCCCTGCGAAAAATAACAAATTATCGCAACTTAATTGCGACGGTTGTCTTCCATTTCATCCTCGTCAAGGCAACTATACCAGAAAGAGCAGCACAATGTCCACTGAGTTATCATGATAGGCAAACGATGTCAATCTTTCAAATGCTTATTGGAGATTTGTCCCCAATATTATTTATTCCCCCCACACCAATGCATTCAGTGTCAATGAGACACGGTTTTGTTTTTTGTTTTTTTTTTTGCGGGCCAGCCTGCTCCCTTCTAAATCTTGTGATCTCATTTTGAGGCTGACATCTCCCGCCGCTTTGTTTGAGCTATAATGAGCATCGCGCACGCCGTACATCAGTTGATTAGGGAAGAACAAAGGCAAGAAGGCCCTTACATCCGCCACCATGTCGACGAGACTCTTGTTGCAGCCGTCGAAGCGACTCTTCCATGATTGACACTCCTTCTCCAGCTTCCTCATCTTCTTGGCCATCTTGGAAGCACAACAAAACATGTGAAAAGCGCCTAAAAATATCGCCCCTCGCTCCTCCTCTTCCCTTCAAAAGGCCGCCGTTCGTACTTTATCCATGTCCTGTTTGAAGCCGCTGTAGACGCTGTTACTTTTCGAAACGGTGCCCTGGATCTCGTCAAACTTCTTGGAGTACATGTCCAGCTGAGGAGACAAAATCAGTGTGACCGTACGCGGCCTTCAAATTTGATTTCCAGGAAATATTTTTTTTCCCCCTTCACTGACAGAAAAAGCAAATGACAATGTCAGTTTACCATCGGATATTTGCTTTCATTTTTCCTCGCGTTCATTTGCATCAGCGTTCACATGACATGCACAGAAATGCCGCCGATACTCTTTCGGCACGCATCATATGAAAACGCGGTCGTGCCTACAAAAATAAAAATGTTTCTTATTATTCCCAATGCTAATTTTTTGCAATCTTATGGAAAAAAAGTCGTACGTATTTTTGAAAAAAATAAAAAATAAAACTCAGTTCCAAGAATTGTGACACTTTTTCAAAATCCGCAATATATTTCAGTTAAAAAAAAATGCCGACACTCATATTTTTTTGACTGTAAAAATTTTTCAATGCAACATGAATAAAGCAGTGTTTTTTATTTCTTTGTTTTTGAGGGGGGGGAATAAAAAGTCAGATTATTTATTTATTTGTTTATTTTAATGACATACATTGGTAATCTTACAAGAGTAAAGAATATATTTCAAGACAAAAACATTTTGGGGAAAAAAGTTGCAATATTATGAGATGAAATCATGCCGCCCCCCCTGCCAAATTTGTAATTTTTTTTAACAACATGAAATTAATAACCACTACTAATAACTCCCATGCCACCCTTGCATGAGCTTACCTGCGCCTTCATGTCCACCTCAGTCTCCTTTAAAAGTTTTGCTTGCGATTTGTACTCTGCGGCTTTTTGGAGCAGCTGTTGGAACATCGGCAAGGTTGACAATGGCAGGATGGCACCAGGGCAAAAAAAAAATACATTAAAAGAGACCCTACTTACGAGCTCTTTCTCCAGCTTGTGTTTTTCCTCGGCCTCCTTCAGCAACATGTTGGCCTGAGTCAACTTGGTGTCCAGAAGCTTCTCCTTCAGGTCACGGTGCTTGAACACCTTCTCCAGGTTCTGGAAGAGAGACTTTCCAAAGTGAAATGTCTCGTTTGAAGTCAAACTGAGGTGCGGTGGAACTCTGAAAGGCGACGTCCCATTTCTCAGAATTTCGGAAGAGGGAAAACAATCAAGCGTGAGCGCACGCACCGCCTCCCGCTGGTCGTACTGCGTAATGAGGCCCTTGAGTTTGTCGGCCAGGGCGCTGTTCTCCTGACACAGTTTGGTGTTGCGGCTGCTGTGCTCCTCGATCTGGGCCTGGATGTCGCTCAGGGTTCCCTGGAAGTGGGTGGTGATCTCCTTCCGCTTCAGGTCGTCCTCTCGGCACCTCTGCAGCGTCTCCTCCTGCCGACGCCGGCATCGTTGGATTAGTGGCGGGGCAAGAGTGGCGGGGCAAGAGTGGCACGCCGTTCCAAAGGGTTAAGATAGTCGTCTAAGAAGCATTTTCACTTTCGAAGTGGAGCCATCTCGCCCCATGAGGACGCAGTTAAATTAAATGACCATCATTTTATACTTTACTCTCTTCTTTG